CCTCCTCCTCCTCCTCCTCCTCCTCCCTCCTCCTCCTCCTCCTCCCTCCTCCTCCTCCCTCCTCCCTCCTCCTCCCTCCCTCCTCCCTCCTCCCTCCTCCCTCCTCCCTCCTCCCTCCTCCCTCCTCCCTCCTCCCTCCTCCTTTTCTCACCTTCCATCCATCCTTTCTCTCTCCCCTTCTTCCTGAATTCGAGCATGTGCAGGGCGGATGGACGCAGTTCCTTGTAGAGGCAGGGTGCGATCTTGTCATCAGCATTGACCCTGGAGCACTTTCGCTGTCTCCCTTCCCTCCTCAGGCGCGTTCTTGAGAGCGTCGCTCCTCCTCTGAGCTCCTTGGCAGGTTCGACATCTCGAGATGAGTGTGCAGGCGGCGCTGCCTGTGCTCGAACAAGAAAACTTTCATGGGAAGGTAGGGAGGGGAGGGAGGAGGGATCGGGCAGCGGGTTGAGACGTGCAAGGGAAGGAGAAATAGGAGCGAGAATCAAGGGGGATGCATTGAAAGAACCGCTATCGAAGGAAGGGGATGGGGTTGTGAGACGCAGGGGGCGGGGTTGGGGGTAGGGAGGAGAGCAGGGCAGCAGGTGCGGTTTGATCTGACCAGGAGGAATCAGGTGGATGTCTACGTGTCCGACCTGTACCTTCAGGTGAGGAGATGGACCAAAGTTGCTCATGTTGACATCGCTCATGCAGAGCGACTGCTCGCCGGTTGACGAGACGAGACGGGGGAGGAGAAGAGGAGTGTGAAGGATAGGAAGGAAGGGCAGGGGCAGGGGCAGGGGCAGGAGCAGCATGATCGTCAGAGGAGGTCCTTACGTTCTTGCAGGTGGATCTTCTCATCAGCTACAAGCACCTCCTTAAGCCTGGAGCTCTCTGCGTGGTGAGTACTCCTCTTTCTCTGTGACCACCAGCTCCTCCTCGACTGTTCTCATCGTCCTCTGCCTGTCATCAACCGTTAACACATCCTCTTCCTTCAACGTCCTCGTTTCTCCTCCTCCTTCCTTTCTCCCGTCCAAGTTCCTTCTTTTTATTCTGCTTCTCTGTACACTGCTTCGTCCACCGCAGTCACCATCTTGACTACGACTACCTTCTCCTTCTTTACCCTCCTCCTGTTCTCTTCCCCATACCTTCCCTGCGAACTTTTCGCTTCCCTCTGCCTTCATTGGTAACCTGCTCCAACACAGGTCACGCTGAAAGGAGCTCCTGGTTACAGTCAGGTTCCTGCTCTCTTATCAGCTGTTCCTCTCCTGCTCCTCCTCGTTTCTGTCCTCCTCCTCCTCCTCTTCCCTTCTTTCCTGCATCTTCTTTCACTGTCATTTCACTTTCTAGCAGCACACGGTGGAGAAAGCTTACAGCAACGACTTGACGAAGTTCCGAGAGATGTGCGACGAGGTGATTGATGAGAGTAGTGAGGCTGAGGCAAGCGAGGAGGGAGGAGCGCTTGTAAATGGAAAAGGGGATGGGAAATGGACTAAGGGAGGGGGAGGAGCGGAGGGGAGGAGAGCGAAGGGGGTTGAGAAGAAGGCTTGAGGGAAGGGGGGAGGGAATGGGAGGGAAGGCCAGTCGAGTCGTGTCGAGAGGAGGGGAGGGCTGGGTAGGGAAACATGCTAACAAGCCGCAGGTCTCATTCGTTCATCTTCTGTATAACAAGGAGAGGGAAAGAACGTTGATAGGAGTTTTTAGCGGCAGGTAGCATTCAGTTCGTTTTCTCCTTCTCTTCAACTCTTTACCTGCTTCTCCAATACACTCGCCTACACAAACTTCCATCCTCCTCCTCCTCCTCCTGTCAAATCTGAACCTTGACTTCCCTGCTAGATCTCTCTTCTCCTTTCTATCCTCTTCCATGCTACCTCACCCTCTCACTTGTCCATGTTGGTGGCCGCTGCAACCCTGTGGTACCAAGACGAGACTCTCGTCTGCTCTAGCACCTCTCTGAACGTCTCCGAACCCTCGACGCTCCTCAGCACACCAAACACGGCGAGGTCGGCAAGATTCGGCTCCGCTCCTCCCATCATTTCCCTGTTCCCCACAGCTGACATCCATTGCTCCAGGAACGAGTTGAGAGCGATTCTCAGGGCGCTCTTGTCGTTAAGAGACACGCTCTCCTCCCCCTTCGCCTTCTGGATTATCTTCCTCTTGGTGAACTTGGCAGTCTGGAAACAGCAGGCGTGAGCAAGGATGCGGGGGTAGAGGTGGAACTTGTGAGCATGTAACACGTCTATCTCTACACGTCCTCACCTCCAACCTCATCATCCTCCTGCTCTCAACTCACCATGTACAAGTAGAGGGAGCCGACGTTGCGCAAGAGGGTGCTGTTCATGCCCGTCACCCCCATCCTCTCGATCACGGACTCCATGGACTGCTTCGAGTCGGCAGGAGACCGGAAAAGGTTGATTTCGACGTTGGGGTGCAGGACTTTCTCTGCCCATTCGCACCATTGATCCTCCTCTGCTCGCTCAAGGGGAGGAAACGGATGGCTAGAGGCCCTCGCATGATGCATGTCCCTCACCAGCTGCTTGATGTTGCTCACTTCTTGACCGTCCACGACTGTGACCAAGGCACGTCAGCAAGACCACACCGCCCATAGACATGCCAGCACAAGCAAGAGAAGAGATTCGTCTCACCTGCTTTCTTGATCTCGTAACCTTTCAAGGGGCTGATGTCCACAACCTTGCAGTCTACCTTGAGCTTGCGGAAGAATGCCGTCACAGTGGAGCAGCTCGGGCTCAAAGGGCTGCAGTGAAGCTCCACAGAGCCGGGGATGGTCTGCTGAGAAGGAGGAGCAGGAGCAGGACCGCTGTGCTCGCTCCTCGCCATCTTCACAGACGCTGCCATCATCGCCGCACCAGCCAGCGCACGCGTCCCATAGTAAGCCGCCATGGTTTCTTTCCTTTTGTATTAGCGTTATACTTCATACTCACGTTAATAATCCGATATCAACATTAATTCTCTTTAAAATCAACGTTGTTTACAGTATTTAGAATTAATTCAATAATTTTAACCTTAAATACCAAAGTAACGGTATTGTAACGACGTTTGATATTTTCGGTGGTCGAACCATGTTTCTGCAGCTGTTGAAGCGACATGCAGGAGAGGTGAGCAGCGTTACCAATGTACCTCTCAATGTACCTCTCCTCTCAATGTACCTCTCCTGTCCTCGTCCTCCCCTCTCCATGCATCTCTCCTCTCCTCTCCTCCTCTTCTCACCATGAATCTCTCCTCTCTCAATTACCTCTCCTCTCAATTTACCTCTCCTCTCTCCTCTCTCAATTTACCTGTCCTCTCTTCCTTCCCTCCAAGTCACTTTTCCTCTTCTCCTTCTTCCATCTCAAGGTTTCTACACTACTCGTTATCTTTCCTATTTGTGTACCTGTAATCTCCTTCTGGCCTGTCTATGTTCCTGTCTCCTCCTTGTTGTCACACTCTTCTCCCCGATTCAAGTGTCTTGTGAATTTTTCATCAAGTTGTATTGGTGCACCGGTCCTTGCTTGCCGCTGAGAAATCACTATGACAGGCGGACGTTCTGCAAGCTAGCAAGGATGTTGCGTCGATTCTCAAAGCAGAGAAGTCTCATACCAAGAGCTCGATGGACCCCAATGAAATGGCAGCGCTGGCTCTGACGTTCAATCCTGTAAGTTGGTTCTCCAAGTAATGCAGACCCAATAGTGACATAGAGAGCAGAAATTTGCCATGTCAGCATCAAAGTTAGCTGCATCAGGAAATTGGGCCAAGACTGACCAACTTGTTCAGCGATCTGTAAGTATTTCTAAGTTACCACCAAGACGATTGACGTGGAATCACAATTCATCAGCTCTCTGACCTTGTTACAACCTGCAGGTTCCCGGTGCCAAGGTTAGGTCAAGCTTCGTGGGATGAGAACGAAGATGTTGTTGATGATCACTACTTTCCTCTCCTACCCCTCTGGCTCTCTTTCGTAACTGTCATATCTCAGTCTTGTAAATTTTCTCGAGCCGTGGGTTGAGATCCCTCTTAGATTTGCGTTGAGTTCAGTCTTCGATCGAAATGATTAAAAAAGCTACCAGGATTGAAATTGAGATTTTGAGTCATTGTTATTGCATTACTGCCATCATGTCCGAAATTTATGGAGTCCGGACACTTGGTGAAGGCGGCGGCCCGGCGATCTGTCGGCGAGCCAAATGTAGCGGGGGGTACCGTGAAGAGAGAACAGCAGAGAAGAGACTGAGAAGTCAACCCGGTGGCAGTATCGGAGTCAGGCCCTAGACCGTTCGGGTTTGTGGCGATTCTGATTCTTCTTCATCTTCTTTTCGCAGAAGGTAAACTTTCTGTAGTGCAACCAGCTCAATTTCGGGCCGCCATTCCTTGGAGGTACTTGAGAACCTTTAACCGGTGAGATCCCACAGCGCCGAAACAAGTCATATACAGGCCAAGTGAGATCTTTGGGCTGGCGGAGTGTAGAATCGTTGACGACGTAGCGATGGGCTGAGACAGTATCTTTAATCTCCTTGACAAACGAGTCGACCATGCCCGGGAGCACCTCGAACGATTCGAACCTGAGTACACTGCTCCCCTGACCGTAACTTCGCTTCAAAATTCTTTCCTCCTCCAGCCTATTGAAGAGATCATGTATTCTAATCAGGAGATTCAATTTTTTTTCGCTCATGTTGAGTCCCATGACATCCGTTGCGTATTTTCGTATTTGAGATTCACCCCATGGTTCTACCGAATTTATTCCTTGCCCGGACGTCAGCATTGTTTTCGCCGGGGGTTGCGTCGCGACCATTGAAATATGCTGATAAACGCGATGAGAATCATTGAGTGCAGCAGTTGATATGTGATGATTCCACCTGTCGATTACGTTTGAGTGCTGATGATCTGTGTTGTCAGGCACCATCTCAGGACAAGTGTTCCTGATGTCACATATCCAATGCCCACCAAAGCCAGCCTCAAGTTCAGCAATGTCACGAGGGCTGTGGGGGTGGTCTGGAAGGTTGAGCTTGTGGTAGTCTACTTCATCATCAGCGTCACAATCGTGGCTCGAATCGACCGCTTCCTCACTCCCACAGTCCCAGCCTTCGAAGTCCTCGAGGTAATCCTCATTCTTCGGAGAAAGCAGCATTTCCGGAGTACCCGACATTGATGGAATCTATGTGCAAAATGTTGCTCCTTTCGTAGGATCGTGAGGAGCAGACGATTCTCCCTCAAGTAGCGATTTGGGATGAGAGGTGCTGTAGTTTGTCAAGGATTGCAGGACAAGTGGATCAAAGCCACGGGAGAGGGAGAGGAGATGTCTTGTGAATGAGAGCTCCTCAACTTCGAAGAAGCGAACAAGCAGAAGAAAAGGAGGAAGGTGAAAGGAGGAGAGAGAATCAAACGAGGTGAGAGAGTAGAGGAGGAAGACAAAAGGAGAAAGAAGAGAACGAGTCTAACTGAGAATGAAGTAAGTTGGCGGTTGCTGCGCCGACATGTTGGTTTTCGCTCTACAAAACTTGTACCTTTAATTTCCAACAATGAAATCTATGGATTAGATTTGAAATCATGAGGTCATATCTTCACGTCCTCCTTGCTGGGAAATGTGCCAAAAGAAAGAAAAACGAACCGTAAAGACTAAAAAAGAAAGACAAAAAAGAATAAAAAAACAACAGCAATGGATGGAGCGTTCAATGAAGGAAGCTCCTCTTCCTCCTTGCCTGACATGTAGTACGACACCTCTGCCCATGGCTCATGACAATCACCTCCCATGGCGCGACGTGTCATATGGACATGTCGGTGGTACATGCTTGGCAATGCAGGACCTCCCTTAATGCGAACAAGGAAGAAGAAGGATGCAACCAATCCGGGATCTCCTCCTCCTCTTCCTCCTCCTCCTCCTCCTCCTCCTCCCGCCACTCCACCTCTCGTCTGAGCTGGAAGTTCCATGTTGCTCATGTCATCAGTCAGAGGCTGTCTACGGCGAAGTTGTGAGGCATGAGAAGGAGTCATACTGGAAAAGCAAGCTGTGCACGGAGTGTGCAGGAAGGGTTTCTATGTGCGAGGACAGCATCAGTCTGTTGCTCTTGAAGAGACGATGTAGAAACTGCACCAAGTTCGCATCGTTCGCAGACCCGATCTTCAATTCGATGCCCGTGCATTGCAAGGCGCACAAAATGGATTCGGAAGTGGTGAGGAAAGGGAGGGAGAGTTGTCAGCCTCTGCCCTCAAGTAGCCTGCAGGATGTCGTCCACAAGTCCCTCTTGTGCCGAGAACAAGGATGCAGCCGCCAGGGAGTCTACGGGCATCCGCTGAACCTCGAGTTGAACCTCCGGCACTTGATGAGGAAGCAGGTGCTGTTTTGCAAGCAGCACAGGAAGGTGCGGCCTTATGGGATGTAAGGTTCAAGCCCCTTTACTCTGACAGCAGCCCGAACACGTCGACATTGTGAGCAGGAGGTGCAGCTACGTGGGCTGCCGGAAGCGCGGATACTTCACTGCGTCAGGCTCTGGGCAAGGTGATCTCATGCAGTTTTGGTGTAGCCAGCACAAGCCGGAAGATTGTGTGGACACAGTCCATCGCAAATGCCAGTGGACAGGGTGTGGCAGACGCGGGAGGTGAGGGAGGAGGAGGAGGAGGAGGAGGTCTCTTGTCTGATGAGCTGATGGGCAGATACCATCAAAGGAGTAGCAAGGGGACCAATCTTTTTCTCTGTAAAACTCATCATGAGGTCAGATTCTTTTTCTGTGTTCCTTGCTTGAAGTCTACTTGAGAAGAGATGGACACCAGCGGTAGAAAGCTCTTTCTTGGAGGGATGACCGGGAGAAGGAAAGACCTTGCGGAATGGAACAGGAGGATTACGACAAAATGGTTCCAAGCAAACGAAGGTGATTCATGCTCAAAAGTTTCTATGCTGGCGATTCTTCAGAGTTTATCTTTTGACTTGTTGATGTTGCGAATGCTGTAGATTGCGGAGACTTGAAACCTTCTGTTTTGGATATCTCCCTCATTGCTGATAGCCAAGAAATCATGATTCTGAAGATTGAAATTCGCCACGTTACTCGAATGAAATTCAAAGAATGGAATGCTTGATGTGACCTCAATCGTGAAATGCTTGACATCCGTCGCTCCCTGGTGGATCATCATCAAATCCAGTAAGGAGGTTGATCGGCCACCTACTTGCGTCTTTACCTCCCCTATCAGTCTGAAGATTCCGTCGCCCTCCTGCCGACCCGATCTCAGCGGCCTCCCACCCCAGGGATGATCCGATAGTATCACGTGGTATTTCCACAAAGAGGATTTCGACTTGTACCTAGTCCCCAAATTCTCAGTCAGGTTTCGGTGACAGCCGACGGAGGTCGAAGCTACCTCTTGCCCTGGCGGTCACCAAAGTTGGCAAACGCCAGCAGGAAGCTGCCCTGCAGGCATGTCATGAGAAGGAAGACGACTGGGGATGGGGAGGAGCAGCAGAGCAGAGAGCAAAGGCATGACTAGCTACAGAGAGAGAGCTGAAGCAGGAACACGTGTGTGGCAAGTAGAATGCGTCTACCTGTGCGGTGAACAGCTCGCATCCATGAGCACCATCAGTAGGGATGGACTGGAGGAATCGGAAACTCTCTGTGCCAGGGTCGAAGCGGAAGACCTAGTGGCGGAGTAAGGGAAATGATCTTGACGCTCACGTAGTGAATACCGAGGATGAGATTTGGGTCGTGTGTTCGTTCCTGTCCTCGGAGAACGCAAGGAAGTACTGATTGTTGAAGCTTCCGAATTCCTTGACGCACGTCAATTCTCCAAACCCTCCCCGACGGAGTCTGCCCAACTGCGTCATGCGCGCCAAAGGTGTTGAGCTGCTGTAGGAGGGAGAAGCTGTCTTCCTGTGCTGCGAAAAGAAGCTCACGCGCAGGAACTAGCAGCATCACACCAAGTCTCACCCCTCATGCGAAAGATCAGCGACCTCGTGCTCCATCCGCCGTGCATGGCATCGTGATACGAGGCTCCTGCAAGGTACATGCTGTGGGGGGCAGGAAGGGTTGGACGATGCGTTGTCAGGTGACAGTGCAGCTGTTGCAGCAGATTAAGTCTCACTTGGAGTCGATCTCTATCGTTGAGATGGATCCTGAGCCGGCGCATTGCAGCCTCTGAAGATCTTTATCAGTCACCCCTTGTCATGGTCTGCAAGACCTGGAAAACGGTTGCTTTTAGACCCTTCCGCCCCTTCAATCCTGTAGATCGAGATCTGTTGGAGGTGAGTGAGTCAGTAAGAAGCTGACAACAATCATCTACAACACACGCACCTGTTGCGCAAAGTTCTCAGCGACGATCAGAAACGTCGAGTTCTTCCAATGGAAATGATCAGTTTGCCCTGGACCTGCCGATTTTCTCTCAGCGCAGCTCACAATAGTATCGAAAGAATTCCTTCGGCTGCGATCCGAAACGCTTCTTTGAATTTCTTTCCCATCCACCTGTAGACTACCGTGGAGAGACAACCGCCTGGTTCCTGCTGCCTTCGAGTATCTCCACATTGATAGTAGTTAGGGACGACCAGAAGCTTCTCCGCGCCTTTTCTTCGTCGTTCATGTCTCTTCCACAGCATGCTGCAAATCAACCTGATTCAAAGAAGTCCCAGCCATGAGCTCCTCTCGTCCTCATCGACTGATGTCTCTTCAACAATAGCTTGCCCGTCTCGTTGAGAGATACCTTTTAACCTTCTTTCAGGGAGCTCTTCATCTCTCCCAAAACCACATCACACGCACCCGGTAGACCTTGGAGAGCGCGCTCATGTCCACCGACTCTCCGTCCCAGAAATTTGCGGCAGCGATGAAGGTCCTTCCATCGATCTCGAACGCCTCCCATCCCCCGTTCCCGTCTGCCACAAACAAGTTTAGAAGCAAGGCGAGTTGGATAGAAGATCACACGTGTTGGTATCTTAGCTCCAAGCACGAGGACACTTCGTCCTCCTGTCGCTGGTTCCTCCCCCTCTCCCTGCATGCTCAGCGTCTCTCCTGCCAGCCAGACAAGCGCCACGAGCGCTCGACAGCAGCGTCTCCCGTAGGGCATTTCGGCCTAGGAGGATTAGGTAGATTGAACTAAACGAAACAGTAAACAAAATGGGTAGATGTGGGGATGTGGTCCAAGAAGGTCTCTATGTCCAAACGTGGCAGGAGGCAAGATAGAGGTGAAGATGAGCAATCCGCGCTTGAAAGTGAGAGAGAGCAGCGGAACAAGAAAGAGAAGCATAGACATACAGAGCAGCGTCGAAGCAAGGATAAGATCGAGCTGAAGCAGGAGGAGCTTCGAAGCAAGGAGGCCGAGCTTCAAAACAAGAGGACAGAGGCACGGCTGAAGCAGCACCTTGAAGGGGAGAACAGGCAATACTGGGAGGGGGTACTGCAGGACCTTGCGGAGCAGGAGAGGAAGCTAGAGAGGGATAAGCTCGAGCTGAAGCAGGAGGAGCTTCAAAACAAGAGGACAGAGGCAAGGCTGAAGCAGCACCTGGAAGGGGAGAACAAGGAATACTGGGAGGGGGTACTGCAGGACCTTGCGGAGCAGGAGAGGAAGCTAGAGACGAGGAGGAAGCAGCTTGAAAGAAAGGAGGAGCTTCAAAAGGAGAAGGATAAGCTCGAGCTGAAGCAGGAGGAGCTTCAAAACAAGAGGACAGAGGCAAGGCTGAAGCAGCACCTTGAAGGGGAGAACAAGGAATACTGGGAGGGGGTACTGCAGGACCTTGCGGAGCAGGAGAGCAAACTAGAGAAGGAGAAGGAGCAGCTTGAAAGAAAGGAGGAGGAGCTTCGGAAGGATTGGAAAGATCCCCGAGCCAAAGAGGACAACGTGTCTTGGAATGAGGTATCTTGGAATCGTGACGCGGTAGGTTACAAGGAAGAGGGCAATCTTTTCTGTCTGGATCGATCGTTTTTGGATCGGGGCCGCTCTGGCCAAGTAGAAAGACAGCAGGCGATTTTCTGCAGGGAATGCTTCAAAGAGCAATGGAATTTCATTAAGGAGAGGGTTTGTAATTTCGGGTGTCTGGGTTGGATCCTAGGCCCTCCAGGGACGGGGAAGTCGACGACGACCATGTCTTTTATACAATCGCTGAGCATGCAGGAGGGGTGGAAGGTGATGTGCGTGCGGTTGTGGAAGTGGGGTGCTGTGAATGTCCTACAAGCTGAGGATGGAGTTTTGAGAATTACTGACTTGCCACGCAATGGTGCAGAAGAGATGCTGAGAGGAATTCTTAGAGGATGGACACAGAGCGGGAAGAAGTATCTTGTCTCGCTGGACGGTTACCAACAGGACGTACATGATTTAATACTGAGTGAATGCGTGTTCTGGCTTAACCATGACCGGGACAACCGGCGGGTTGTGATCACAACGTCGATGAGTTCTCGAGAAAAGAAAAAAATTGAGCAAGATAGAATTGAGAAGGTAGAGGAGTTGATGGTGTACTCGTGGACATTGGAGGAGTACCTGGAGGCCGTGAAGTACGACTTGTTCTACAAGAGTGTGGCTGGTGTGGTGGAATTGAGCTTAGATACGACAGGAGGCTCGTGGGAGACAAGGTCGAGAGATGTCGAGTCGAAGTATCAGATTGTTGGAGGCTCATGCCGCTACATGTTCGAATGTACGACAGATCAGGCGATCCAAGATCTCCGTGGAGCGATGGACTCTGTCTGTGATTTCCAGACGCTGTTCGACATGAGGACGGGCGACCGTACCAAGCAGTTTGTCAATCGGCTGCATGGGAAGTATCGAAATGGAAACCAAGTATACTGGAGTTTTGTCAGTAGGTTTGTTGCCAGGGAGCTAGCAGAGAAGCTCGGAGAATCGTTTGTGAGGAAGATTGAGGAGCTCCCAGGCGCGACTGAGAATCCGTCTCTTCGGGGTTTTTTGTTTGAGATGCTGTTCTTCGCTCGGATAGGACGAAAAGCAGGGCTGCAGGTAACCCTCAGGCCAGAGGGAGAAGAAGCCGAGTCAGAGAATCAAGGCGAGTCAGAGAAACGCGACGACTGGAAAGGGTGCAGCGTGAAACCTCTTGAAGCCAGGGAAGTCGACAAAGCTCGGATGCAAGGGACAAACAGGTTGTGCCTGAAGCCGTTGAGATGGAATCAAGAGGGCTATGATGCAGTGATTGTGGACTTCAATTGCAAACTGGTGCGTTTCGTACAGGTAACCATTGCGGAGACGCATGACCTCAAACTGCGGTACATGTATGACTGTCTGAAAACCTTGAGGATTGAGGAAGGGGGGACCTGGAAGGTGGAGGTTGTGTTTGTCGTTCCAAAGGAGAATCTCTACAAGTTCAGAATAAGCAATGTGGAAAACAGCGGCATACTTACAAAGTACGGGTGGGCACGCGGAGAGGAAGAGATCGACGCTCATGTGGCTGGAATGAGCTCCAGACCGCAAGGATAGAGCTGCGAGATGGATAAGTAAACGAGTGACGTCGGACGCTTCCATGGGTCTGTGGACCATGGTATCCTAGATCAACCTTGCACCCTTCCTTCTCCCTTCCTTCTGTACACAAGCTGTCTCCAGACAGCGTATGCTGTACTCGGCTCTCACACAGGAGAGCGAGTCTCAGGCTCGGACTCCCACCATGACCACCAGTGCTTTATTCTCAACACCCGCCACCGCCTCACTCCTTGCCCCGCCTTCCTCCTCACTTGCTCTCACCACCGATGCACCAATCCTGTACCCCTTGGACTCCGCGTCCCCCTGCCTAGATCCACCCCCCGCCAACAGAAGATCATGCAGCAGACCTTCATTGGGAGCGTAGTGCAAGCCCATGATGTTCTGCCTCTCTATGAGCTCCCTCAAGATTCTCACTGAGCCTTGGCAAGAGCCTCGTTTCTCTTGACACAGAGCCGTTGCACAAAAACCTATCATGGAGCCTGTGTATACCTTCCTGTCCTTCTCCGATGTCATACCTTCCACCGACACTTGAGAGTCGTCCTGTATCTACACTGCGCTGATATCTGAGCTTCGAGTCAAGCACTGGTCAAGCACAGCAAACGAGATGGGCAGATGAGGGGATGTGGTTCTGAGGAATAATGGAGGACGGGTACGTTTCACAGGAATTGAAGGGGTTAGATCTCTCATGCCTTTAGACCGGGTCCTACTCCAGCGTTTGAGGGGTACGGGTTTGCTGTGACGCTTCGCAAAAATGCGGAGAAGGCTGGCGGGGCTGGCGGGGCTGGCGGCGTTGGCAGCCTTGATGGCTGTTGTTGTGACCCTGAGAGGAAGGGACATGGCAGGAGAAAGAAAGCAGGTTGCACTAGATCAGCAGGAGATCGGCGGTTGGTACGGGGACGGAGGGGATGGAGGCAAAGAAGAAGACGAAGTGGACCAAGAATACGAGAAAGCCATGCCGTTCCGAGATCCTGGGCACATCAGCAGGAGAGGGATCTTTCTTTCCAATGCTATCAGGAGGTACGACAATGTGCCGAGGAACAGAGGATGGGATTGGCATCAACCCCTGTGGGGAAAGTACGTCCAAGCACAACAGGATGTAAGTTTTTTGTGAACGAAGCAAGTTACTTTGTACATGAGCCTTTTGTACATGAGCCTGTGAGAGGGACAGCATGACTTATACATGTGATGGTAACACTGAAACGTGAAGTCTGTTTGTGGGAAAACATCATTCTGCATCGTACAACATGCTGAAACAGTTGCTTTGATGCGGTAGACTCATGTTTATTGATACATATGTACTGCATATGAATGTAAGTTCTACCAAACTCATTGGCGATGTTACAGCCTTCCAAGGTTTCGGTGGGATGGACATCAGACAGGAAGTATTCTAAGGATGCTGATGACCTTCAGCACGTGGTGAGTCGACTTCGATCTTTGTGTTCTTCCTTCCCTGTGTTTCTTCTCATACCCCTTCTCATTTCTCCACAACCCTCCTGTCTCCCTTCTCCCTTTTCCTCACATCCACTTTCCGTTCCGCTGTTTCAAGATCTTGCTCTCCTCCCTTGAGTCTTCCTGCTCTACCACCAGCTACAGTCACTGACATGCTGCTCAAGATGGAGAGGCACGCCTATGGGTTCGAGGGGCATCGAGAGCCGCACGAGACGTGGTCCATCAGTGACGAGGAGGTCGCCCAGCAGAAAGAAGGCCTGCAGACGCGCTCCAAGGAGCCCAGCAAGCTGCAGGACCAGAAGAAGAGCTTGCTCAAGGGGCAGGTGACGGAGCTGAAGAAGGAGCTGATGAACGAGAGGAAGGAGATCGAGAGTTTGCACGATGACGTCCACGAGCTCGTGACCGACGAGCGGGTCAAGAAGGACAAGAAGCTCCGGCAGTCTCTCACGTACCAGGTGATGAAGGAGAAGATCCTTGACGCTAGGAAGCGGGAGAAGGAGGCTGAGGAGACTAGGGACAACGAGGGCCGCGCGGAGAAGAAGGAGAGGGAGGAGGAGGAGGATCGGGAGTCGAAGCTCCAGGCTCAGATCCACAAGCTCCAGGCTCGGCTGCGCAGGAAGTCGCCCAGGAGATTTTCCTCGTCAGAAGCTCAGAGGGATCTGCAGACCTACTTCAGCAGGCTGGACAAGGATGAGGCGAGGGAGGAGGCTTCGCACGCTGAGGAGAAGCTGGAGAAGCTGAGAGCGAAGATTGGAAGGGAGAGGAGGAGGAGGTCCTCGTCGTCCCTGGAGAGCCAGTTGGAGGCCCTCAAGGACTCCACGACGAGCGAGAGGAGTCAGAAACTTGCGATGCTCCCTTCCAAGTCTGCAGCCCCCAAGAAGGACAACCTTGAGGCTCTCGTGCAGCAGCTAGAGGAGAAGGCTGTCGCCCCCTTCCTCCCGTGAGATGCGACTCGCCCCCTTCCTCACATGTTTATGCAGCAGTAGAACAAACGAACGATCTTGACACCTCCACTCCTTTAACTCAATCCCTTGCACACCTCCTCTCGCTCCTTGCTGTCTCTTTCCTCTCTCTTTCACCCTTTCGTCTTTCCCTCCTGCTGCTACTCTGGCTCAAACTTGCTACACGCAAGTCAAGAAGCAAGTAGTAGTGCCTCTGCATCTTCAACTCGCCTAGTTCGTTCTCCTGCTTGTCCCCTCCCCCTCCTCTCTCAGTCCTCCCTTGGTCCTCCTTGCTCTCCTTCTTCAGTCCTCTCTCCTCGATTTGTTTCCCATTCTTCATTATCCCTCTCTTGTTTTCAAATCGTCTTCTCTCCTTCACAGCTGCACTGAGATCATCGTGAATGTCGGCAAGAGGAGGAGCATGACGAGCAGTTGGTTGAGGTAGTAGCTGGCCGACGCCGCGTCCCCCGTCACCAGCACGAGGAGCAGGACGAGGAGGAGAAACAGGAAAGTGCGGGCACCTGCTCTAATGATCCAAGATTGAGATGAAAAGCTGAGGAGAGTGAGCGGGACCTGCGTGAAGAATGAGAGGAGGGAGGAAAGGAGGCAGTGGAAGAAGACGTCCTTCAGAGGATGTAGGAGGAATGCAAGGTATAAGGAGAAAAGAAAAAAGGTTGAGTACGAGGTGGAGGACGAGTCGAGGGGATCATGGGAGTATTTGAGAGATGTCCAGAGCAGGAAAGAGCAAGGGAAAAGAGGAGAGGAGGAGAGGAGACGAGGTCAAGAGGAGGAGGAAGGGAAAGAGGAGAGGAGGAGAGGAGACGAGGTCAAGAGGAGGAGGAAGCGAAAAGAGGAGAGGAGGAGAGGAGACGAGGTCGAGAGGAGGAGGAAGGGAAAGGAGGAGAGGAATAGAGGAGACGAGGTCAAGAGGAGGAGGAAGGGGGGAGGGGGGATTTCACACCAGTACGATAGCAGTCGTTGCACCGTAGGAAAAGTTGAGGAGGATGAACATGACGAGAGTGAGGAGATTGAGAATGAGAAACTGAAACAAGTTAGCGAGGGACCCAACGAGGAAACGAGCGAAAAGATGGAGTGAAGGGGGGGACGAAGGCTAAGGAGAAGGATGTGGACAAAGGTGGGTGGGTGCTGGAGTGACGAGGGCAAGGAGGGGAGGACAGGCGGAGGAGAGGATGGGAGGGGAGGATGGGAGGGGAGGAAGAGAGGAGAGTGGGAATAGAGGAGGAGAGAGAATCGGAGGAAACTTTTTGCTACCTGTGCATTGAGCATGTAGCAGCGGAGAGGATCCTGAGGGGTTCTGCCTCTGGCCATCGAGGACGCGCTTCTTGCCAGCAGGAGGAGGATGCAGCACGTGGAGGCTGATAGGAGCAGCTGTACCCTGTGCCCGGAGAAGTTCCACTTCATGATAAGGAGGAACAATCCAGCCAAGTAGGACAGACCGACTGCAACCGTCTCGTGCAGCGGCCATGAGTAGGAGGAGGGAGAGGAGGAGGAGAGGGCCCTGAGCTTCAGCGCCTGCAGGATGAGGGGGAGGAGGAGCACGCCACAAGGAGCCATGTACTGCTCAGGGGGGAGGAACTGCTGGGTGTCGGAGAGAAGCCACAGAAAGAAAGACTGATGAAATCGTTCCAGCGTGTTGTTGATCGACCTGACCGTCCTCTCCAGCACCTGACCCAACCGCAGGAGATCGGAGGTCGACAGGACCGCGTCTCCCCCCCTCCTCCTCCCTTCGGAGATCAAGCTGAGCGCCTCTACCTTCAACCCCTTGAACACGCCATGGCTCCCCGTCGACCTCCCCATCGCCTGCTGGACCATGTTCATGTGGATCCTCTCGACCCTGCTCTCGACGAATCCTGGAAGGTTTCCTCGCAGCAGCTCTAGGACCGCTGCTGGGGTCGCCACCACCTCCAGCCGCCGCGCCCGCTCCTCCCCCGCTTGTCCTTGCCGCTCCCTCCTTGCAGGGATGTTGGCTCGGATTCCTGTGTGAGTGATGGCGTGAAAGGCGATGTTGACCAGGTCGAGGTTGGGATGCTGCCCTCCCTCGCTCTCGTACCCGACGCCAACCTCCTCCAACCTGCTCCTCCTGTCCAGCTCCACAGAGACTGCCGCCCAGATCTCCCCACCATGGTAGAGACGGCCGGAGAGGTCAGCAGAGTGATAGTCGGAGAGCCAGCGGGCCGGAGGAGAGTGCGGGGGGAAGGAGGAGGGGGTGAAGAGAAAGAGGATATCCTTGGAGAGCCAAGGGACGGTGGAGAGGAACTGCATGAAAGAGCATGTGAATGCGGCCGATGCGATCCAGTCATCTACGACCGAGTCAGGCAGGGAAGGGAGGAGAGAGGGGAAGGAGGGGAGGAGGAGGGGAGGGGCCCAAGAGATGGGCAGGGCAAGATTGGCACTCGAAGACCAGCAGAGCACGTAAGGGACGAGGAGCAGAGAGAGTGAAGGAGCGGAGGGAGGGCAGAGGATGAGAGCGAGCACGAGGTAGGAGGCAGATGCGAGAGGGAGTAGGACAGGGAAAGTGAGGAGGATCAGCGAGGGTGGAAATGGAACAGTGAGGAAGAGGAGGAGGAGCAGTCACAGGATCTCACCGTGAGCCTTGTCGGGGTACTGGGACGTCAACACGACAGTCTCCTTTCCCTCCCCTCGAGCCGCGTGCAGCACGCACACTACGTTGACCCCCTCCTCCCTCGTGATCGGGCAGAAAAACCTGTGCTTCTCGCACCGCAGCCCGGCTGCCTCTGATGTGCTGCCCGTCACAATCGCAAAGGAGGGAGGGAGGGAGGGAGGGAGGGAGGGAGGGAGGGAGGGAGCGAGGGGAGGGAGGGAGCGAGGGAGGGAGCGAGGAAAGGCGGGAGGGGGAAAGGAGGTAGGAGACGAGGGAAGACATTCTAGTGCAGGTGGCATGAGGAGGGAGGAAGAAGACGAACAAGCAGCGGAACGTCTCTCACGGGGGGATAAACAACAATCGGGGCAAGGTAGAGGAAGAGGCGACCTCCAATCTTGACGATAAGATCCACAGCCTCCTCCCCGGGTCTTGCCCTGCTCATCCGTTCCAACATCTTCATGGCAAAGCTCGCGTGCGCATGCCCATAGCCAGGCCTGTCAGGACAGCCTGAGAGGAGGCTGCGGCGGACAAAGGGTTCCACCTTCCACCGTTGGGGACGAGAGCGTTCTCGGAGATGTAGTTGTTTCTAGCAAACTTGAGGACAGCATGTAAGGGTTGCGGCAAGAAGGCTTGAAAGCAACCTCAGGCATGAAGAACAGGATCGCGGCTGCTCCTCCGCACACAAGGAGGAACGAGACGATGTCCACTGCCAGGACGAGCTTCCTCTCTCGGGCCTTTTTCTTCTCCTCCTCCTGCACCTTCATGTCTGCCGCTTGCTGTATAACCTCCTTTCCCATAGCTGCTTTCAGGCCATCCCTTCCTCGCAGCTCTGCTGTTGATCCACGTGAATTGACATCGGACAGGACCAACAACAATCAATCCAAAAACCACCCCTTCCTCTCCCTCCCTCCCTCCCTCCCTCCCTCCCTCCTCCCCACCGGCTTCTTCTCGCCCCCCCACCCTCTCCATTTACGCTACCTTGACACCCTTACAGTTCTGTCCATCCTCCAGCCCTCCCTCCTGTCTTTCACTTTCCCTGTTTCCTTCCTCTGCCTTCTAAGTAATTATCTCATTTCTCACTCAATATCTCGACCCGACCCGTCCTCTTCCCTCACTCCTCCTGCGATGCTACTCTCCTCTTTTGCTTTCTTCCATCTCTCTCCTCCTGCTCCTCCTGCTCCTAATCCTCCTGCTCCTCCCCCTCCTCCCTCCCCTCCAAACATCAGCCCTGCATCCTGGCTGGCATCCTGGCTGGCATCCTGGCTGGCATCCAGACTGGCATCGCAGTATCGTCTCCGGTCAACCTATATATGTGGTACACAAAAATTTCCTTTTAAATGCTAAGATCTGGGGGTGAGGGTATCTGACAAAGGGGTACGCTAAGAACAGAGGGTATTTGGTCCTGGTATTTGACAAGATGATATACCATTATTATAGGGGTGATCATATATTTTGTAGGTAGGGGTCATACATTAAGGGGTAAGTCTTTGCGTACGGAAGGGGGTGGTGAGGGCGGGGGCGGCTTATGAAGCAGATGGCGGGACAAGCAGGGGATGTGGGAAGGGCGAGGGGCGGGAGAGGAGGAGGAGGAGGAGGAGGAGGATACATGATGACTCTATGTTTCGATCATCTGGACCAAACCTGCACATGAGCTCGAAGATCTTTGGACTGGATTCGCTGTGAAACGGAGTTGCAGAAAAGGCAGCCATTCATCTGCGTGCTATCAGTTCTTGATCGCGAGAAAACTCCCTGATCGCGTCCTCTAGGAAAGTTTCAAGAATGGCAGGAAGCGATTTCGTCTCAGTGTTTCTCCTGTCAACCTTCTTCTCTCCTTCCTCGGCATTCTTCGCTCCCAATGCCCTCGGAACCCAGCACGCACCAGTGGTTCGTACCGCCGCCGCTGGCTCATTCTGCCTCCTGCACAGTCGAAAGTCACCGAGCAATGCGCACAGACATGCTCAACAGCATGCCAGCTCCGCCGTGAGCTTGACGATGAAGAGGAAGAACGGCAGTGGAGCGAACCAAAGGGATTTGAAATCCAACAAGGACGCGGACGACGAGTTTGCTCAGAGGAGGTACGACCGAACCTACGAGTATGTGCAGGGAGGGTTCGAGGAGAAGGCTCCTCCACAGGCAGCAGGCAACCAGACGTCCATGTACGCCGCCTTTGACAGAGCGCTTCGCGCGTCGAACTACAACATGTTCTGCTCTCCCCTCAAGCCTGTGAACGCGCCTACGGCGTTCAAGGGGCAGGCGCAAACCTTGTCGTCGAGCGGGAAGGGAGGGGAAGAGAGCTACGAGAGTCTCATCAAGGGGATTCAGAACGAGGAGAAGGACAAGGAGAATGAGGAGGAGAGGATGAAGAGGGTTGAGGCGGAGTACGCTACCTTGAACAACTTCCTCAAGTTGGAGAACAGAGACGGTGAAAGTACGCGGCAGCTGAAGCTGATGAACTCGGCGGCCAAGAAGTTTGGAACCAAGAAACCTGCTGCTCCTGCGAGCTCGAAGAAGACTGACCAGGACGAGAAGAAAGCTCCGCAGCCTCTCGCCAAGTTGAACATTCAACAAATAGGCGAAGACAATGACGGTGAAGTCCTTGGAGGAGGAGGAGGTTGAAGAGGAGCAGGAGCAGGAGTACAACACGGTGGGGGGGGGGGGGGGGATTGTGAGAGGATAAGCTTGTTGATTTCTTCTTCCTTTTTCGTTGTTGCAAATCGATTGAGAGTTCACTCAGGGTCAGATTTCTACATGAACGATGAGATCGAGGAAAGTTATGATGAGCTGCAAAGAATGCTTGGATTCAAGCCAAGTGCGTGAAATGCCAATCGTCCTTCTCCTCCTCTCTCTCTCCCTTGCTCTCGACTTCTCCTCCTTCTTCCCAATCCTCCTCTTCCCTCTCCTTCTTTTCCCAATTCCATCTTCCTGCCCTGCAACACACGCAAGAGAAGCTTCTTTTGCTTCTGTTGCTTCTCTTTTTTTCATTTCCCATCAACTCATACTTTCCCGTGTGCTTGCAGAAGCAGGAAGTACGCGGCGTATGAACAATCCTATCTTTACGGGAAATATGACCAAACATCGCGAGGAGGGCATGTAAGCATGCCGTCCTTCCTTCCTCTCCTCCTCTTCCTCAAGCTCCATCTCCTCCTCTTCCTCCTCATCATCATTCCCTCTCTCTCTCCTCTCTTCCCTTTCTCCCCATCCTTCACCCTCCTCATCCTTTCTCCTCCGACTCTCGAACGCTCTACTTAATATTACTCACCTACCTCCCTCGCCCCCCCTCCTCATGGACCTCCACAGGTTCAAAGCCGTCACCCTCAAGGATCCTCTGAGGAGAGTCTACGCCCAGAGGCTGAAGAGAGAGCCGAAACCAGTCACAGACGCTCTCAAGAGACCAGCGTGAGCACCTCTCCATACTTCCGTCCCGCTTCCTCCCTCCCCTTTTCTCTCGCTCTCTCCTTTCCTCTCCTTCCCTCATTACCCTCAGCTCCCCCCTCCTCCTTTCCTGAGCTCTCCTCCTCCTCCTCCAATGCTTCTCTTCGCCCGGTCCTCATCTCTCCTTGTACAGAAAGGAAGCGGCACCAAGACCTCACGGCGAGCGCAACGACGAGGCGGAGGCAGAGGAGTTCCTGGACGACATCCTTTCACTTCAATCTCCAACTCCTGCTCCTCCTCTTGCGCCTCCTCCTGCTCGATCTTCGTCTCAATCTCCTCCCTCTTCTCCTCCTGTCACCCCCCCGCCCAGACCTCCCAAGGCTGTGAAGAAGTCGGAAAAGAGTCAGGGGGAGAAGCCCGAGGAAGAGGGCGAGGGCAGACTCGTTCTGAATCACTCCACCCATCTACCCGGCATCATCCCAGTCCTCCAGGTTCCTCGTCCTTCACCTCCTCCTTCTCTCCCAATCCCCATCTCCTCCACCCCCTCCCTCCCTCCTCCCTTCCTCCTCCTCCTCCTCCTCCTCCTCTTCCTCCTCCTCATTTGCAAGCTGACTTCTTTTCTTCTCTACAGCGTCTCGCAGCCATCAAGGGGATCAATACGATTGTGCCGGGCAGGCTCAGCAGGTACGTCTAGTGCGTATGGGTCTTGCGGCGTTGACCCGGGGAGCAGAGCGAGCAGCAACTGTCACAAGCTAACGCTGCGCATCTCAACGGAGACAGACACTGGGTTCAAGCTGATTGCAAGGAAGGGCACACAGGCGCAGGTGCTTTCTCTTCTTCCTGCGACTCTCCTCTCCTTTCTTTCCCTCTGTTCCTTCCGGCCCCCTTCACCTTCTCCACTTGCTTCTTATGTCTGCGTGTAGGAGGTCTTCATAGTCGGCGATCTTGAGCATGAGACACTGGAAGGCGCTATCGCCTGGTGCCTCTAGAACAAGAACACTCTGCTCAGTTTTCTCCTCCTCCTCCTCCTCCTACCTTTTCTCCCTTACCCTCACTCCCTTACGCGGAACCCGCTTTGAGCACGACAACATTTTATTCCTCAAGAGGAGGCAAATGAGAAAACTCTAGATTACAACGTTTACAATCGACGACACAATCTCAATCTTCAAATCTCTTCGCTCACTCCCCCTTCACCCAAATGTACAGGCAGGACTCCACTCTTAACTCTCCACTCCTCGAAATCAAACACAACACGACCCTCCCTCCTTCCCTTCCCTTCTCTCTCTGCCCTTCCCCCAACCTTGTCAGTTCTCCAGCAGGGTGGTAGGAGAGTGGCAGTCGATATGCTCGGGATCATCAGAAGGGTCGGGCTTCTTGTCATCGGGGATGACGAGGTTTTCCAGATATTCGGGCCTGCGGGCGGGAAGGGGTAAGCCGACCCGAGCAAACAAGAGGAGAGCACAACTTCGATCGTCTCGGTGATCTTGACAAGTTATAGTGCAGAGCTAGGAGAGATGTAGGAGACAGGCGATCCACATGCTCTGAGGAGTCGGAGGGATCTGCTCAAAAGCATGAGGGTCGACTGGAGCACATTAGGGCGAAGATGTGTCTAGATGGCAATGGCACAAACCAGGTTGCTGCTGCTCTGGGATGCCGATCACGAGCGAATCCGCCTTTGACTTTGCGCGAGTCAAACCTCCTCCAACGCTGTTGACCTGGAACCTTCCATCTAAAGTATCCATCTTTCTTTTCACAGGGGGGTCTCTTTCTTGGCCAGTCATCAATCACCTTCGTCGGCAGTCTCGTACCAAGAAGAGCTTTTCAAAACATGCAAGTACGAGGCACTTCGAATTGATTCCCGCTATCCCTTAACTTCGTCGCCTTCTTCCTTGCTGTCCCTCCCCCTACCACAATCCTGCCGCCATTCTCTCGACCATCCCGCGATCCCGTCCTGCCTCTCCTCTGACTCCCTTCCAGCAAGAACTTGGCTGTGCTCCCTTCTGTTTCACCTGTGTCAAGTCTTCTATCCTGCTGTATCCCCCCGTGCTTGCTTCACTACGGTGAACTCTCCTCCTCTTCCTCGCGCTTTTTCCTCCTCTCCTCCTCGCAAATCAAAGATCCACAAATTCCGCAGAAAACCCGCCCCACTACCCTACCCCTAGCAGGAAACTACCCCCAATGACAAGGGTACCCCGCCACTCCTCACCACCCTTATCTCTTCGACCGGAGTACCCCACCCTTTATCCCATCCAATCCCAACCCCTGGATACTACCCCATCAATATGCTACCTCACCTATCCATTATTCAAGGATACCCCCTGTTTCAACTCATGACTACCCTTCCCATGAGCCATTCTTGGAGTCTCATCAAGTACCCACCCTCACTTATGAAAATCACCGCCACCCCATCCCTCATACCATCCTAGAGGACCCTACCTACGGTGTGTACAAGCGTACATGGGTACCTATCTGGTACATGGAGTTTAGCCAATTCATTCACACCCCTGTTGGTATATGACCCACCCTAGTCTTCCTGAACTGATTCCCTCTTTGATAACCCCCATGAACACTACCCTACCCTATAGGTTTTCCTCACATTGTGGGTTCAATATATTTGTGTGAAAACCACCTACCTATGGGCAGGCTGCAATATATCCCCCACCCACCATTTACCTTGACCTTTCAAAAAGTACCCCACCCTCAGGCCTGCCCGTTACCAATTTCAGCTTGTCACCCCTTTCCTGAGCATCTAGTACCCCGTTGATGCCCTGAATGACCGTACCCTGTAAGGTACTACCCTTGGAGTGACTACACCACCCTGTTCCTTCAAACCCCACCGGTCAGAAGGACATATCTTTTGCAAATCTTGGGATCCATGGGTATGACCACCCCATTCTGTCACCTGCTCATGGTTGAACCCGTCCAAATATACTCTCCTTCCCTACCTAGTTTTGCTACATTGATTGTTACAGTCGCAAGGTGCTTGAAGTTTCAATTGAAGTAATAGTGAATTAAGCACATGCTCCCCATACTATGGGATCTTCCCATCATTCATCACCCAACCCCACTTTGGTACCCCCACCCCCATTGAACATGAAATAAAAATACTTTTTTAACCAAGAGCTTAGATTTCTTAGAATTTGTCGCTATTTTGATATTATAAATATATTTTTAAAGAACCCCTCCCCCCATGCCTCTATTCTCGGAGCCTTTTTTATAAAATGATTTTAAATTTGGCCACCCCTTATTTCTAGAGCCAATACTACCCCACTGTTACATTGTACGGGTGGGTTCTCCCTTCCACAAACAAGTGCTTGTTCCTCTACCCATATAGTGAGCAAATTATCTAATTGAGGTAGTAAGCTAAATCCCAGTATCACTGTACCTCACCATCCCATCATGCCATGTGGGTTCCCAAGGGGGTTTGAGGGGGAGGGGGTTGTCGTGAAGAATCCTCATCCCCGCGCATCACTCAGACAAAACGGCTGAAACGTTTTTGTAACTGCTAAAGGAAGATGTAACGGTCGGAATGCCTAGTCAGCGAGTATGGCATGTACGGAGCGGCGAGGAATGGGAGAGACGGTGGATGAGGAAGAAGAGAGATGGCGGGAGAGGAGGAGGGACTATAGGCATAGATGACAGGATGAGATGGAAAGAGGGTGTGTGGGAAGGAAGAAGTGTGGGAGGAAAGTGGGGAGGATACAAAAAGGGAAGCTGCTAAATAAGACTGGATGTGACAGCAATGGCTGAACAGCGCTTGATGCGCCCGAAGTAAGCTGGATAGTGTTGCCTTGTGGTTGGAAGAAGTGAACAGTACGGATCCTATACGAGAGGATTCCATGAGGACGGGTGGAGGGCAGAGCAAGGATAGTCCAAGGAGGACAGACGAGATACAACTGCTGGACATTTGAAGTCGCAGGGTATGAAGGGCCGGGGTTGTGCAAGGTCCGATAGGCTGCTTCCTGTCGCCCGAGAGATTGTTGCGTTATGTGAAGATGAAGTGCGAAGATGTGCAGGGAGGAGGCGTTCAGAAATGAAACGAAGTCTAGGCATGGCGAGGAGACGCAGTAGCGAAGCAGGCTGGCAGGCAGGCAGGCAGGAAAGGGGAGAGTGATCCAGGAAGAAAGAAAACGATTAAATGGTTCGCATATGGGGCGAGAAGGACTCTTTTCTTCTCCTGACGTTTGTCTGTCCCAGTGATCGCCAATGTTTTGATCAAACCGTCGCATTTGCTCCAGCTCTCCTGAGTGATAGAAGCAAACGTTACACCCTCCGTTAAGACGCCCATGTCCTCCCCCTCCTCCTCCCTCCTCTCTCTCCTGCTGCTGGCCAGCTCCTTGGTGCATGCCGTCCCCAACCCTTCCTCCATCACCTCTGCCCTCCCACTTTTCAACCCCTCTAGGTCAAGCTCAGCTAACATCGACCAGAGCAACAGCCTGACTGTCCACTACGCGGACGCAAACACGGAGCTGACGGGCATCCTCTGCCGGGATGATGTGCAGCTGGGGGAGTACAGGGCAAGGCTCTCCTTCGCATGCTGGACCTCCGCTCCCAACCAGCAATTTTGGGCGGAGATGGGAAACGGCGTCCTTGGGCTGGGCCCCAAGTACCAGAAGCAGCATGATGTCAACGGTCGCCCCCTCCCCAGCCCCATCCTGCTGGGCTTCACTGCTCGGGATGCGGTGGACAGCAACGCGGCTGGGCTCCCACCGAAGTTCGCGTTCATGGCTACCAAGTCAGCAGCTGAGCTGCAGCTGGGGGGATACGTGAAGGGGAGCACCATAGGAGAGATGCGGACGACGCCGTCGATCAGCACCAAGACTTACTCGCTGTCGATCAACTCGATCAGGATCGGAGACGAGTTCGACAACGCTCTAGAGCTCCTGGTGTTCTCTCCCACCACCAAGAAGAGGCACGTCCCTGCCCTGCTAGACACCGGCTCGCCGTGCATCATGCTCCCGTCGAGCTCGGAAAACGGTGACGTCATCAAGTCTCCCTACTCGCTGTACCAGAACTACAACAAGAAGTGGTCGAAGATGTTCATCACTGTCAACGGGATCGACCAGGTGGAAGGAGGGGGAGGGAGGGAAGGGAGGAAGAGGCAGAGGAGGAGCAGGGTGGACAGAAGGTGCAGGAGCAAGGAAGTAGAGGAGCAAGGAAGCAAAGGGGGAGGAGGGGGGGGAGAAGGAGGAGGAGGAGGAGGAGGAGGAGGAGGAGGGAAGGAGAAGGAGAAGGAGAGGCGAGGAGGAGGAGGAGGAGGAGATCTCTGTTGGTGATGATACGCCAGGGGCTGGAAATTCGACGGGAAGATCTCGAGGTCGAGCATCACACGTTCCTTGATGAGGTGAAGCAAAACCTACCCCCACTTCCTCCACTCCTACCTATCCTCTAATCCTCTACCCCTACCCCTCCCCCTCCCAGTGTTTCCCTCTCCTTTCCCCTCTCTCTTCCTCCTTCCTCCTCCATCCTCCCACCCTCCCCCTTGTCTTCTCTCTCTGCCTCTTCGACCCCCTCCACCCCCTCCCTGTCTTTTCCTTTCCCGCTCATCCTCCTCTCCTCCAGGCATGGGGCACCAACATCCGGCCGTGCGTCATGCCGGTGACGTGGGCGATGAAACCTCCGCACATGACGCCGATTGTTCTGGGTGAGAGTTGAGCAAGTCAACACCTTCATCTCTCTATTTACATGCACTCAATCACATCAATCAACTCTGTCCTCCCCCTCCCTCCCTCCCCTTCCCTTCTCCTCCTCCTCCTCTCCTTATGTTCATTCTATTTTGTCTGCAGGAGCGGTCTTTTTTCGAGCCTTCAATGTCATGTTCGACCTCACTGGCAGCTCAGCGACGGTAAAACTCCATCAGTCTCTCCACCTCCTCCTGTTCCTCGTCCCGCCCTCACCATCGACATCTCAACCTCTCCGCAGGTGCCTCCCACCATCGGCATTGCGAAGTTGAACCCCAAATATCAACGTAAGCCTCCTCCTGCTCCTCCTCGTCTTGCCCTTGCCCTTGCCCTTGCCCTTTGTCTTGCGCCTCCTCCTCCTCCTCCTCCTC